ATGCCTTTTCCCCACCTACTCCCCCCTCCCCGATGATAAGACGTTCCCTTCCGTCATCCGCCGTGTGCCACGGGAGGGAAGAAACGGGAGGGAAGAAACGGGAGGGCCAGGAGTTCCTTGTGTCGGTGTGGAAAAGGCCCTCACCCATCTCCCCTCCGCACCACCCCCTCACCAAAACTTCCAAGGTAGCAGGGCAAAGTTTCTCCCCAAAGCAACAGCTGGGGGGGGGAGGTCCACACATTCTACAGCCCCCCTCGTCCTGGCCACTTCCTGGGGGTACGTCCAGCCCCGGCTCAAACTCCGAATCTGGGAGCAGCCTAGGGCGCGTGGAAAGTTTCTGCCGAAATGTTACAGTCCCCCACAGCTTTTTGGGGACCCCCAGGGCTTTTCGGGGACCCTGGGAGCTTGGAGAGCCACACACGGCAGGATTCCACTGTTACAGTCACGGGGTTTCGTTGGGACGGGGTCAAAACGGGCCCCCCGAGTGTGAAGCTGTGGGTGGGGAATTTGTTCTACGATGTTTTCGTTGTTTGTAAATGGCTTTATATTTAAATATTTGCTTTGGAAAAGGGATTGATAGAGTCGGTTTTAATATATCGTACTTTAGAGAGAGACGTGTTTGTGGATGGCTGGTTTTAAGAGTGTCTTTCCTTTTTCGGGAGGGGTGTGCGCGATGATTAAAAACAACACTCTGGAAGAGTAGAGCGAAAATTGGAGTTTCTGTCCTGCAGGAAACTCCAAGGCTGTGTCTAGACTGGCCAGTTTTTCTGGAAAACCAGCTGCTTTTCCGGAAAAACTTGCCAGCTGTCTACACTGGCTGCTTGAATTTCCGCAAAAGCACTGACTTCCTACTGTAAGAATCAGTGCTTCTTGCGGAAATACGATGCTGCTCCCGTTCGGGCAAAAGTCCTTTTGCGCAAAACTTTTACGCAAAAGGGCCAGTGTAGACAGCTCAGATTTGTTTTGCGCAAAAAAGCCCCGATCGCGAAAATGGCAATTGGGGCTTTTTTGTGGAAAACCGCGTCTAGATTGGCACGGACGCTTTTCCGCAAAAAGTGCTTTTGCAGAAAAGTGTCCGTGCCAATCTAGACGCACTTTTCCGAAAATGCTTTTAACAGAAAACTTTTCCGTTAAAAGCATTTCCGGAAAATCATGCCAGTCTAGATGTAGCCCAATAGTCTGGCATTTGATTTTTCTTAAAAAAAAAAAAAAAAAGAGAAATGCACAGACACACAGTGACCGAGATCAGGGCCCCGTCGGGCCGGGCGCCCAGACACACAGTGACCGAGATCAGGGCCCGTCGGGCCGGGCGCCG